GACTGCTAGACGCTGAACTACAAAACTCTCTCCTTTGTATTTGAACACCTACCCTGTGCCAGACACCTTGGTACTAAAGACACAACCATGAACAAGACAAGGTCCCTCATAGAACTTAGGTTGAAGTACAAAAGAAAGATAATTAATTAACAAGTAAGCAAGTTATTGTAACAAAATGGAGCTAGCTGTTCCAACGCTCCCCTTAGGCGCATTCAAGCCGAAACATCCTATACATTTGATCATGCCTTAATGCAAGTAGGTGAAACATATAAGTAGATAAAACACTTTCCTCCAGACTGGAACCAAATCAGCCCAGCCCGTACTTACAGTCAGAGTGAAGTCGTAACAGTCAGGGAGCTCGTGATGACGAATAGTCTGCAGATTAATGGCTTTCAGTTTAAACATCAGCTCCACTGTTAGGAGTCTAGGGAACAGAAGAGACTTCAGTGCAGTGAAAACACACTCACAAACATGAGTCACGCTCCCGCCTGCCTCCCTCACCTGTGAAAGTCCAGTGTTAGGTTGAGTTTATTTTCTTCTGGTGTTCCAATGTAAAAAGATTCATCTGGCTCCACGGAGAAACATTCTGCCACAGAAAGGAACAAGACATAATACTGCAGCCAAAATACATAAAACTACATCTTGGGAAGATAATATAGATATTCAAAACTAAATATTCAGGTTCTAGTACTTTTCTGAATTAAGATTTTAAAGGGTAGACATCTATACCGACCTCTTGGTTACAATGACTCATTTGTTTTTAAGACATAAGTGGCTACATTTCTGCAGTGGGTGGGAGTGGAAAAAGTTCTGAACCCGATCTCATTAGTCTTCTATAGAATGCTATCTTCCCTCCTGGCCTTTAAACCTAAACTTGGAGACCTTCCTCCCTTTTTTTTTTTAATTGTATCTAAACAGGCTTGAAGCACTTGCAGTGTCAAAGAAAAAATTTTTCTAAGCATAAAGGATCTACTTTTTTAATATTATGTGTTGACTATTTTTCCTCAATCAGTATTTTTTAAAGGAAAATAGCATCTTAGGTTTTCACTAATCAGTACTATAATATTTTACTATTCCTCTCCCAAAAAAAGTCCCAGTCACTATTGATGAAAGCATTCAAATATGTTTTATTCTTTTTATTAAATGACAGAGGTGACATTGATGAATAAGATTAATACCTATTTTTTAACATTTAGTCCTGAGCTAATGTTTCAGGTACAACTTGCAAATAACACTTTGCTAATAAGAATAAGCTGTGCTCTTCTAAATTCTGGCTCTCATTCCTACCCCAGTCTACCCCCGCCCCTCACCCCCGTAGATACTGAATAGTGAGATGCTAGTAAAGAGAGGGAGCTGGACACACATCAAGAGTTTGCAAGCATAATTTTTTGTAAGGAAAATATCTGCCTATTTAATGAGCTAATCCAGCACGAGAGGCCGTGGAATATAGTGTTTAAGAGCCCAGACAACCTGGGTCAGATTTCAGCTCTGCCGCTTATTAGCTCCACCTTGAGCAGATCCCTTACCTCTCTGCACCACACTGTAGTCTTCCATAAAACGGTAATAATAATAATAAACCATGGGACAGTACCTGACTGACACGCAACTTTTATATGGTTTATCAGATGACCTATTAATTAGCACAGACCAGATCAACGTTTTCAGAGATGAAATTACTGATTGAAAAGATAAATCAAGGAATGGAAAGTGGAAGTTCCAGCATATAGAAGAGCATTACCAGTTTCAATTTGGGGATCAATGTCAAAGGTATCGTTTCCAGGACAGATGTTTCCTTGCTTGTAGAAGTACTGGCAGACCGCCATACCGGACTGCTCCGCGCCCTGATCCTCATAAGCGTGGTTCCCGACTGAGATGTTGCGTAGCTGCAAGTACTTCAACCAAAAAGAGAAACAGGAAGTGGGAATGCCAGCCCGGGCAGATGTGAAGCCATGATCTCGTTCCCTCCCTGACTTTGAAACTGGCAGGCTCCCACCTCTGCCCTGGGTGGAGACCCTCCCACCGACATGCAGAGTTAAGTGGCCTGGACTGCGCTCCGGGGCAGCAGAGGGGCGAAGAGCACTTGAGAACCTGAGTTCTGAGTTCAGGTGTCAAATCCATGACCTCAGGCAAATCACAAACTTTTCGGAGCTTCTGGTTCCTTATCCGCAAAATTAAAGGCTTAACCCGCATAATCTTCTTTCCTCCTTTAAAGAACTATGTTCTGGAACTGGCTTTTACATTGAGTGTGGATACAAATTTATTTTATCTTAGACCTACATCCTATATGGTCAGAGTGTTGCTTCACTACTGCAATACAGGAAGGGGGATATCATTGTTCCAGGCTAACCAGCAAAACTTTTTATTTAAAAAATACATTTTTAATATTTATTATCTTTGTAAGAATATAGCTTAGTCATTTTCATAGCAATAATCCCCTGTCCTGGAGAATCCTCTAAAACAAAATGTGACTTTTACAAATGAGAATCACATGGTATTTTGGAATAACTGTCCACTTAAACCTCTTAGTGAATTTCGGTGGATGAAAAACACAAAGGAAGGGTTTCAGAGCTTATTTTGAACAATGTCAGTTGGCACAATTAGTGATACAAAGATCAGGATATGGTATCTGTCTCTTGGAATTAATAATTTAGTGGGATAGACACAGATAAATAATCCTACTAAAGGATGCCTGTGAAACATGCTGTGATCATTGAAGGGAATCATTGATAACACGGGGCCCATGGAATTGATTCTGAGCTGGGCCTGGTGGAGGCAGCACGTTACCAAATCCGACACTTAGTTCCCAGTTCTCAGTGCTTCATGCCTGGTTGTCGGTCCTCACCTAACGTAACCTCTCCACGGTGCTTGGTGCAGGCGAGTGCTTTCCCCTTCATGCGATACTTTCTCCACTTGTCTTCTGGGACCCAGGCTGCTCCTCTCAGTCTCCTTAGCTGAATCTCCTCTTCCCAACCTCTACATCTCAGGGTGCCTTGAATTCAGTCTTCTACCTCTTTCACCACATTCTCTCCATGGGTGATCTCGGCCAGTCCCATGCTTTATATACCATCTATATGCTGATGACTTCCAAATTTATCTCTCCAGCCCTGCCCTCTCCACTAGATTCCAAATACAAGTGGGTAGCAATCTACGTGTGGCGTCTAAGAGAAATCTTAATCATGGATGGACAAACAGGTAAAATTGTCTCTTTCTACAATAATTTTCTTCTTCATAAACAACTCCATATGTCAATCACTTTCCAGGCAAGACTTGGAAATGATCCTTTAGTCTTCTTCTCTCATACTCCATTTCCAATCCATCAGAAAATCATGCATTACTTTCTGATTATATCCCAAACCTGACCACTTCTCATTACCTTCACTGCTATCGCCCTGGTCTACTCCTCCATCATGTCCCACCTGGTAACCCAACTTTCCTGCTTCCAATCCAGACTCTCACCACAGTCTCGTCTTTGTAAAGAAATCATAGGGCTGTTACAAATATTTCCTTACCACGGTCACAAAGAGTAAGTGAATTAAGGCACGTAAAACCCTTAGAATAGTGACACCTAAGACATGAACCTGTTTGAGACTCTGTTGCTTCTCCCTGGAAGCTTCTTCCTTGAGATCATCATGGGCTGCCTCACTGCTCTTCAGTCTGCTCTCTGCTCACTTGTATCACCTTCTCAGAGAAGCCTTCCCTGACCATCTCCACCCTTTCACTCTGCCTGCTTTTTTTGTTTGTTTGTTTGTTTTACCTTAAACAAATAACCAACTGACAGATGATATCCTTATTTATTTATCTACTAGAGGCCCAGTGCACAAAATTCATGCACAGCAGGGGGGTGGGGGTCCTTCAGCCCAGCCTGTGCCCTCTTGCAGTCCGGGAGCCCCTGTGGGATGACTGACTGCCACGGAGGCGGGAGAGGCTCCCACTGCTGCTGCGCTTGCCAGCCATGAGCCCAGCTTCTGGCTGAGCGGCGCTTCCCACTATGGGGAGCACACTGACCACCGAGGAAAGCTCCTTCATTGAGCGCCTGCCCCCTGGTGGTCATTGCACATCATAGCGACCGGTCATTCTGCCATTTGGTCGATTTGCATATTAGCCTTTTATTATATAGTATTAGAGAGGCCTGGTGCACAATTTTGTGCATGGGGGGGGTGTCCCTCAGCCCAGCCTGCACCCTCTCCAATCTGGGACCCCTCAGATTGCAGGATGTCCTGGGTGAGGGGCTGGGGCAGTTTGCAGGCCAGCCACACCACCATGGGGTGAGGGTCCCTGCTGGGGGGGCGTGGCCAGCCTGGGTGAGGGGCTGAGGGCCATTTGCAGGCCCCTCCTTCAGCAGCTGACCAGGGCGGGCAGGAAGTTTGGGTCGCCCCTGGCGACCCAAGGCTCCCGCACACTCGGGCCAACTCCGTGACCACCACCTACAGGTCCCTCCTTCAGTGGCTAGCCAGGGCAACTCAAGCCTCCCGTGCGCTCAGGCCAGCTCCGTAGCCACCGCCCACAGGCCTTTCCTTCAGAGGCTGGCCAGGGCGGGCAGGAAGCTTGGCTTCCTCCGTCGCTGGGGGTGACCCAAGCCTCTCGCCCGCTCCGGCTGGCTTCGAGGCTGCTGCCATCTTTGTCCAACTAATTTGCATACTCACTCCTGATTGGCTGGTGGGCATTGTGAAGTGACGGTTAATTTACATATTTCTCTTTAATTGGTGTAGATTGCTGTTCTCTTCCTATTATAATATGACCTCCTTGACTTTGTCTGTGTGTTCACTACTGTATTTTTGTAGCAAAAACAATATCTGATACATAACAGATGCTAGAATTTTGAGGGAATAAATCTTAGCCTTTGCTCGTGTATGTTAGAGTCTCTCCCTCCTTCCATGGCTTCCTGGCTCTCTCAGAGTAAACTTCATAGCTCCTTTCCTGGCCCAGTCACACTTGCCTCCTTTGCGTTTTCCTGAAACTTACTCAGTGCTTTCTGGCCGGCAGGGCCTTGGCTGTTGCTACCCGTTCAGCCTGAAATATTCTTCCTCACACTGTAAGTCCTCAGAGAGCCTTTTCTGACTGCCCTGTACTATTAATGCCTTTTGCTACTTTATTTTACTTCACAGCACTCATCACTATATAAAATCAAATAATTTTGGTTAAACTTGTTTAAAAGCCATCTTTTCCATTAGAATGTAAATTCCACAGGGCTAGGAATTTATCAAGTCCTCCGCTCTAACCCCAGTACTTAGAACAGTATTAGGCCTGGAATAGGTGTCAAACAAATAGTGAGGTAAAATATTACTATAATGCTGCAGTGGCTCTTCATTTCCTAGAGCTAATCTATGCACAGTAAACCATCATATAATAAAAGGGTAATATGCAAATCGACTGAATGGTGGAACGACTGGTCGCTATGACAGGCACTGACCACTAGGGGGCAGACACTCAACGCAGGAGCTGCCCCCTGGTGGTCAGTGTGCTCCCACAGGGGGAGTGCCGCTCAGCCACAAGCTGGGCTGACAGCTGGCAAGCGCAGCAGAGGTGGGGGGAAGCCTCTCCTGCCTTCGCAGCAGCAATAGGGATGTCAGTAGGACATCCCCTGAGGGCTCCTGGACTGCTAAAGGGTGTAGTCCGGGCTGAGGGACCCCCCCCCCCTCCCACCACCACCAGTGCACAAATGTCGTGCACCGGGCCTCTAGTTAGATAATATGTGTGATTAGGGTATTGAGATTGGGAAAATGAGCCAAAAGTCTATGATAATGGAAGTGGCATAAATTATTAAATAGCATTATGTCTTACATATAGGGGGAAATAGTGTAATGCTGGAGATATTCCATTTTGAGATTTTTGTTTTCTATTCAAGGAAATAGTGTATTCATTAAGTCTTTCTAAAGCCACTCTGAGCCAAATGGTAGTTTTATAAGGGGGATAGGAGAGCAGGGAGGGCATAAGAGATTAAAAAGTCCTTTCCATGAAAAAGAAGGTAAAAGATATTGAGGGTGGTAATCTATTTCAGGCACATCAAGAGAAGGCAAGGTTCTTTGGAAAAGACAATAATGCTAGGAAAACAGAGGCAGCAGAAAGAGAGGAAGAACAAATAGGAGATGGACTAACTCCGTAAAAGAAGCCATAGGCTTGAGTCTACAGGAGCTGAGCAGGGCTGTTGAGGACAGGACATTGTGGACGTCACTCATTACATTGGGGACCGCCCAAATGTAAGGGGCAGATGAAAGAAAGGAACCCAGTAAAGATGACCCACAATTGGTTGAGGAAAGCCAAGGTATCATTTAAAACAAAATAACTAGTGTTCTGACATTCACATATATGAGCATATATAATAAACAAAGGTGATGTTATAACCAGCATTGGATCGGAATGAGCCTAGAGATGGTCTCCTTAGAGGACATCTGGGGGCTAATCCCTTCGGAATAAGTAATTAGTCATGGAAATACCTTTAAGAGCCGAGAAGCCACCGTCCCATCTGTCAGTTCCCCTCAGGGACTATCATCTCAACTATCAGGATATCTCCTTACAACAAACAAAGCTCCTTCTTTAACACCAGTCCATACTGTCCCTTTTCAGTTATCTGGAGCCATGTAGAACAACTGACCTCATTAACCACAAAAACTCTAGTTATTCATGAAAATTATGATCAAGATATTTTTATCGTCAGCTACTAGTGAAAATGCCTGATAGTTGCTTGGAAGATGGAAAGCAATCATTTGCCTAAGGTAAACCACCCCAAATATTATTTTCTACTTACATATTAGAGTAAGGAATCTACATGCAGTTCTATAAAGAATGTAGAAATCTGATAAATAGAATGGCCTGAATGCCAAATAGTACTGTATTTTTATAAATATATTTTTATTGGTTTAAGAGAGGGAGGAAGAGGGAGAGATAGAAACATCAATCATGAGAGGGAATCATTGATCGGCTGTGTCCTACACGCCCCATACTGAGGATAGAGCCCACAATCCAGGCATGTGCCCTGACTGGGAATTGAACTATGACCTCCTGGTTCATAGGTCAATGCTCAACCACTGAGACATGCTGGCCCCAGGCCAAGTAGTACTATATTTTCAAAACTAAGTTTAAGTCTACTAGTTAAGGTAAATACATTTTAGGAGGAATTTTAATGAACTATTTACTTCTGGCCTCTATCCCCCCTGCCAAAAAAAAAAAAAAAAAAAACACAAAACAAAGAAACTACCAATTTGGTTCAAAACAGCTTTAAAGAAACTTAATAAGCTTAAAACAAAAATCTCAAAACTGAATATTTCCAGCATTGTATATTTTTTCCTTACAAATTGTAGGACATAATTCTGTTTAACAACGTATACAGCTTACTTCTATTACTGTAGATTTGGGGGCAATTCTTGCAATCGGAATGCTAACAGAAAGCTTTGGTGTCATAATTACATATCCCATCTTAGCAATTTATCATTTCAATGCGCAGAGATTGTCTCTAGATAATGAAGAGACATGGTTTCATTATAACAATTGTTTGGAGGAGAGTTGTAATAATTTTGAAACTAAGCCAGCTTGAAAATACTGACTTCAAGAACACTCCAGCCCTAGCCTGTTTTGCTCAGTGGGTAGAGCATCAGCCTGCGGACCGAAGGGTCCCGGGTTCGAATCTGGTCAAGGACAAGTACCTGACCGGACCCTGGTGGGGGCTCATACAGGAGGCAACCAATCCATGTGTTTCTCTCACATTGATATTTCTCTCCGCTTTCCCTCTTTCTAAAAATCAATGGAAAAATATCCTCAGATGAGGATTTTTTTTTAAAGAACACTTTCAATGATACCTACCAAATAAGAGATTTAGGATCTTGAGAAAGTACTATTTATAGCAAAAACAAATTGATTACAAACGCAGAATAGGAATTTGACTCATCTGGATGAAAAACAAGCTTACTTTTTTGGCAGTTAATCCGAGTCACAATAAGATCATTGTCATGCATGACATAAAGGCCTTACTTATTTTTTAAGTGAACTTTCAGGTCTTGGTTGCTACATATACTTTGCAAAGTGAATATTCTCATTAAGTATTAAGGGCCTCTGAAACTATAAACTCTGAGGACTTAATGACTACTTACTACCAGCGTCGTGGTTAATAATTTTAAACCTTTGAGGCTTTCATACAAGCCCTAGTTTGATTCTTTTAATTAAGTCTTTCAAGTTTCTGTCTCTGTGTTACTGACCAAAAACTCTTCTCAATTTATAGTTTTGTAAAAGTTTGTTGGCAATATTTTAAAAAACATTTTAAAAATTATTTTATACATGCCATTTATACATTACAGAAATGTTCACCCTTCTCCAGCTGAATGTCAGTCTCTATTACGTACATCGCTAACTGTTTTTTTAGTCTGTTCTTTCTCCCAAGTAAAGAATGCACATGCACCCCTGACAGAGGAAAATCAAGCCAAATCCATTAAAGTATCTATCATTTAAAAAAAAAAAAGCCATGCTTGATTTACCTGGTTCACTGCGAAGATGATCTGACTGTATACATCACTCTGTGTGTAAACTGCATAGGTGTCATCCGCTTGGTCCACATATCCTTTTAGGAAGAGGTGTTTGAATGCTATAGTGTTATCTTCCTTGAAAGCTACCACCATCTGGTTACTTAGCCCAAAAAAGACCAGCTTAAGGGGGGAAAAAAGGAAAAGGTTAGAGGGTGAAAAAGCATCAAAATAAAGGTCTCCATATAATAATCAATTTATCTATTCAAGATTCAGTGTCTAATTAATCCTGAATATGTCCCATAGAAATTAATCTTTGGTAGCTATGAATTAATTTGTCCTTAAAGATAAGGTAGGTTTCTAGTTCTAAGGTAAAAGGAAGTGGTTTTGCATCTTTTCAACATTTTTTTTTAACGTCTGATCTCATTTATGGCATTGCTCCCATCAAAAGCTTCAGGAGTGTTCAGGTAAGTCCTTCAGGAGTGCTGCAGGTGTTCAGAGGAGCAAGGTCACTTTTTGGCTACAACGTAGGGAGGTTCACTTAAAGAAAGCATGATAGAAACCCTGAAGTATGTGCAGAACTTGGGCAAAGGACATTTGAGGAGCTAAGAAGGTAGCCCAGAATTTAGCGCTTTGAAAGGACATAATTCAAGTAGAGGAACATTGAGAAGAAACATTAGCAGAGGAAATGGTGCAGGGGCCTGAACAGCAAGTAGAAGAGTGTAATACTGAATTCTGTAGGACATCAAAAAGGTCTTGAAGAAGGTATATAATGTAATGTAAGAAATACCTTAAATAAGTCTAAGTCCTACAATCAAACTATATTCCTAGGTCTAATTACCAAAACTGTGACAATAAGACCCAATATAAAAGTATTCTTTCAACTTATCTCTAAATTAAAGTATATTAATATAACATATCCTTAATGTCCATGCAGGATTGACCCACATGAAACCAGTTGTTCACATGCAAAAAGGCTGTTTACCTGAACTGCTGTCATGGTAACATAAAGTCTGTCAATCATATCCCAAACCTTACTTTACTCCAAGTCTCTTTCACTTTCTCTTCCCTCCCAAACCACCTTAATCTATCTCTATTTCATACACCACACACACACACACACACACACACACACCCGAGCATGACATAAAGGCCTTACTTACTTTTGAAGTGAATTTTCTAAAGTATGTGCACGTAGTTTAGAATATACATTCTGCCTTCGATCCCAGAATGAGGCAGGGTGTATTGTATATGGAAAAGGAAGAACACTGAGCACCCATGGGCCATTACTCTATTCCAGCAACTTTCCTCACTCTAATCCCATAGTACAGTTCCTAATGTACCTATTTTACAAGGTGAGTACATACAGGCTCAGAGAAGCTAAATAACTTTTCCAAGTCGAATTGCCCAAAATTGTATAGTTAAAATTGGAGCCATCTAACAGACTAAATCCAAGCTGCACAACCCAGGTTCTGATTGGGAAAAATAGAGTAGACAAGTCTTTTCCCCTTCATTCTCCCTTTGTAAATGTATGCTTATACCTTACACATGTCATCTCTCTCCACCTAATTCAACCCCATCACTGAAGAGCCTCTTTCAGCTCAAAGTCCTACTTAAATCCCAATAAAACGACAGTTTGATATTCCAGGGATTTCACATCTATTGAAGCTGATGACCAAAGAGCCTCCAGAGAATTCGCAAACACATTCTTACCAATTCATTCAAATACATGAGGACCTCCCACGTGCCAGTACTGAGCTAGAGACTAAAGATACAATGGGAGGCAACAGTTCTTGTCCTCTCGGGCCTAGGAGACAGGAGGCTGAGACAGAACTGCTATAATTCAGAGACTGAGCCAGGAAGTGGGGAAGAAAAAACCTTTAGTAAGGTACCTATCATTGTGCACATCTTTCTTTTGTTACCGAGACACAACATCTCCAACTTAACAGAAATACCACTGTCTTTTCCCTAAAGAAGAAATCTGTTACCAAGTCACCCTTATTGATCAATTACAAAGTTGTCTTTATGTAATACAGTGATGGCGAGCCTTTTGAGCTCGGCGTGTCAGCATTTTGAAAAACCCTAACTTAACTCTTGGTGCCGTGTCACATATAGAAATTTTTTGATATTTGCAACCATAGTAAAACAAAGACTTATATTTTTAATATTTATTTTATATATTTAAATGCCATTTAACAAAGAAAAATCAACCAAAAAAATGAGTTCGCATGTCACCTCTGACACGCGTGTCATAGGTTTGCCATCACTGATGTAATATTTGCTTGATTGCTCAGATATAAATTACGGAAACATCTCAATTGAGAAACCTCAGTTCCTTTCAAAAACTTACCTAAACACCTTTCACATGTTAATTACTAACGAGCTTAACATTTTAAACCATTGGTCAATTCTTCTCTTGACCACTCTAGGAAACACAGGAAGGTTAGATAAGCTTCATAAAAGATTAAGGAATAATTAAGATAATAAATCTTAGAGGGAATAAATCTGAGTTTGAATTTCAGTTCTGCTCTTCATTCCCTGACTATGATAGGCTATTTTAACGCACTAAGCCTCAGTGTTCTAGTCTGTGAAATGGGAATACCACTCTCTCTGATTTGTTTTAAGAACTGAACATGATGATGCCTATACAATGTTTAGCCTAAAACACAGCACTCATTCTAAGTAGAAAGTATTTATGTTCAACCATTTACTTTTAAAGAGAAATCGTTACTCTCACCAACAGAAAAATATATGCAAAAATTCTACCAACTTCATATGATTATAAAATCCCCTTAGCTTCTAAGAATCTTAAGCATTTGTTCTCAATAACCAGTTAAGATTAGTGACTTCAGGGTTTAAAATATTTTTCTCCTTGAATATGAGTTGTTGGGCTGTTTTTTGTTGTTGTTTTTTCACCAAAAAGAGAAAGTACTAATTAAACATCTCTTTCCCCTATTAAAATCTACTTTTATTTTTGCCTATTTGCTCTTAATGAAAGATAATTGCTCTCAGCAGCAAGAAAACAACAACAAAAAACACATTTCTACACAAGAGTAAATCACAAGTATAAATAATCACAAAATTTTTTTCCCCCCAAAAAAGGTTAAGAAAGACCAAGGAAATGAGATTCTTAACATCTCCTAAAATGAAGTGTCATATTTCACTCACCACCTATGCTACTCCTTTTTAGTTAACTCTGATTCTTCCACTACAGGACTCCCATGATCACAGAGAATCCAGGTACTTGCCTTACAGAAACCCTTGAAGTGTCTGAAGAGAAATTCCCAGGAAACTAATTAGGAAGGAAAAGGCTCTTCTGATTGGACAACAGCTAGTTTCCAAGGTGGATTCAGAAACCTCTCCACTGGAAGCCAAATATTAAAATTTTCTTTTCCTGAAAACTAATTGGATTATGTGGCTGAAATGGTAACTTAAGGAAAGATGAAAAGGAAAAGGTAAGAAAAAACCCCCAAAAGTCTTCTTTCACAAATATTTACGAGAGAAGGGTTTAAGATTTCATGTTTCCTTACTTATTGTTCCCCATTATGCATGCCGTTCAAAGTTATAAAAACCACTGGCGGGTTTGGCTCAGGGATAGAGCGTTGGCCTGCAGACTGAGGGGTCCCGGGTTCGATTCCGATCAAGAGCGCATGCCTGGGTTTCGGGCTTGATCCCCAGTGGGGGGCATGCATGAGGCAGCCAATCAATGATTCTCATCATTGATGTTTCTCTCTCTCTCTCTCTCTCTCTCTCTCTCTCTCTCTCTCTCTCTCTCTTCCTCTCTGAAATCAATAAAAAAATATTTTAAAATAACAAGAAAACCACTAGCCATGGGCCTCTTTGTCATTAAAAGAGGCTTTTAACAAACCTCTGACCTGAGGTGCTCACCTGGATGGTCACCATTGCAAGTTTTATAATTTGTATGACAAGTTTCCATGGTTTTCTGCCTCGAGCCCAGAATTTCTCACAAGGATTCATGAAAAAAAATTTGAGTTTTCGCCTCATCTGGTCTTCTAATAGAAGCTCCTCGGAGGGAGATGTATTCTGGTTAAACGTGCAGCCATTTTCCTCCTGCTGAGAGCTACAGCTATTTGTAACGACCTCAGGATTTGCCATCTCTAGAGGGAAAAAACAAACAAACAAAACTGTTTCCATTCTGTAAGTAAAGACACAAGTTTATGTTCTTTGCTATTGCAGGATAGTTGAAGGAGTCACAACAGAAGATCTGGTTTCAAATAAGCACCATTGTTGTAAACTGCACTTTAGATGTTTACAGACTCAATTAGAATGTTAACATATCATTTTTCTTTTTGTTTCCGTTATTAAATGATTTTTTTTTACTCAGTTAAATTTACAAAATTCAGGGACTACATTTAGAAAAATGTTATATGTACTTACACATATATGGTACGTATAGGCTTTCTGTCTCATTCAGTGGCAGATATAGAGCATGGATTGTGAGCTGAAAGCCCAGGTCAGGGCTTCAGAGGGTAGATGGACCTTGAAATTATATGGGAACATTTTTTATCTATGTGGATATGGCCTCTTTTCTTCTGGAGAGACTTAAAGATTTATCAGATTATCAAAATAGAATTAAACCAGAGTTCTGTTTGTTTTTTAATGCTGGTTCTACAACTTGACACTTTTGTGACATGAGCCTCTCTGAGCCTCAGTTTTCCCTTCTGCAAAATGAGAACAGAAGGTGCTGTCATACACTTATATTGTGCATTACAAGTGAAAATGCAACCAAAGCCCCTGCATAGGGCCTCACACTAAGCAAGCAGCTTCACTCTCCCCACAGCCTAGCAGTTTCCTAAAACTGCCCACAAGGTTCTTAGTGGCCCTGTGAGCCTCAGGGGACTTGACTGTCCTACAACGGGGAGCACAGAAGCTCAATTTAAGTCCAAATCCCAGGCAGCCATGTCACTTGCATTTGCTTTTTATTGGAGACTTGATATTTTTGCAGCACATTTTACTTTTCAGGGTACTTCATAGCTATTATTTCGTTTGTCCCTTTGAAAAGGGTTTTTTTTTTTGTTTGTTTGTTTGTTTGTTTTTTACTGTCTTTGTAGTCAGCTTTTCCAAAGTGACCAAGAAGTCACTCCAGAAGCTGGGACCTACGTTGGACTTTTTTCTCAGACTAATAGGATATTCTGGAAACCTGTTCAAAATAAAATACCCAAAGCACCAGGGAGAGACCTGCCATATAAAAGGATGGCTCTGTTTGATATTTTTCCAATAACTTGTACTCAATAATCAAAGGGGAATTCAAACTATACATATTAATACAATATGTGACAAGTCACTGTTTAGGCACCACACTGTTTTTCAAGCCTAGAATCCCTTTTTTGGTTCTGATTCAGACATAGTAAACACGGCATCTCCAAACAATAGATATTCGCTATAAAAACTAGGCATGGGATACGTTTTTAAACTCTTAAAAATATATAGAATAAGGATATTGGTGAGTCAATAACAAAATATATTTACAATAGCATACAAACCCCTTCAAAAAGAAATAATTATGATAGGACTCATTAAAGTGTGACTTATGTGTATGTTATTAAAATGCCTTTCAAGGTATGAGTACAATAGCTCTTAGGTAAAGACATTAAAGGAGAGAAAGTTTACCAATACCTTCAGATTTTCACTCAAGAACACGTTATTTTTCTCTTCAAAAAAGGTATGATGTTTTTAATCCGCATTTTAAAAGACTTTACTTATTATGGGATGTAAAATGAAGATGATTTTATGTTACTCAAAACTCATATGAACACCAATGAAGCTCTTAATAATAAAACATGTTGGTGAATTACAGATTTAAGGTCACATTAAGCCCTTTCTATTTTGATACAGGGAAAATTAAACTTTAAACAAACCAGCCACAGGCCATGTAACAGTAACCCGTAGGAACAAAAGAGAAAATGAGCCAACCCCAATTAATTTATTCAGCACATCGCACCTCGTTGTCCGGGGAGCCAGATATTACATGTACCAGGACTGACCGCTAAACTTGCTGCAAACGTTAGCTTTGCCGCCTCACAGATGCCCTTCGGAGCAGGGTGCACTGTGAAAACTGCAACCAGTCCAGACCCCTAGCCGCTAAGGGGGGCAGGGCACACCCCTACCCACTCCCGCCCCAGAGCTCCCAGCGGGAGGCGGGGTGAGCGGAGCTGCGGATCCCGAGGGTGGTTATCTCGAGGTATTATTGGAATCTACAAACTAACACACAGGGGTTGTTTATTGAGGGCGATGAAAGACTTAACTGGATTGAGCTGCGGAAAGTTAGAGAGAACTAGGGACTGTGTGTCAATAGCAAAAGCCTCACACGTGGTGACCAAGTAACGCAACCTCATTTCTCCAGAAGCGCGTTGTCACTTCATCAGACACAAACCTTGGGTCTCTTTTCCGTTCTTTCTTCCTTCCTTCACCTTTTTACCTTTTCTCGATGAGCGCTCAGGCTAACTTTATTGGGCTGGTACTTGGTTCCCGGAAGGCGGTGAAGGCCACCGCGCTCATCCGAGAGCGGAGCCCGCAGCCGCCGCGCCTTCCTGCCGGGCCACTGCGCCCTGAGCCCCTTAGGCCACCGAGCCCGGCTGGACGCTGCTTTCGCCCAGCGCCCGGACCCGGGCTTTGCGTCCCCTCCCCCCCATTTCGTCCGCCCCCACGCCTCTAATAAAGGGAAATCCCAGTGAAAGGAGGTTGCTTGTCACGGTCAGGACCATCTCTAGGCCGCGGAACGCGGACCGCCCCCCCCCCCCCCAGGGCCCCCCCAGGCGTTGGGGGAAAGACCTCCGGGGGTTTGAATCCCGAGGTTTACATGGGTTTTCGGGGAAGAGGCCGGGCTGGGGGGGGGGGTGAAGACCCAGGAATTAAGGCCAGGCCAAACCCCCGGGGCGGGGGCCCAAACCCTACCGACCGAAACTACGTGGAGCCGGTCCTGTCGGACGCCAATGACTCTGGGAGGGGGA